TGGTCAGCCAATCTTTCCCTTGAGTTGTAGAACGCAGAAATCATGTTTGCTAACCCAGTCCGCTGTCACATTCGGAACATTATCCAGGGGGAACACCCTGTACATTTTTCGCTTTATCGCTGTTTGCTTGACAACTACTTTCTTCACTTCAGATTTATTAGCTTTATTAGCAACAATGCAGTGCCATGGATCATGGCCGGTAGGACAGTTGAAAGGAACAATTCTCGTACATCATCAGACAAAGGACAGGTAGAATGAACAACCGAAAAGGCATGACAATACCAGAAATATTAAGAGTACTAATAACTTAATATTTTAAGAAAGGCTTTATTGTGCTGCACACCTTACATTGCACTTAGAAATTTAACCCCTGAAGTTTCGAAGATCCATGCAGAGCTAAGGGCATGTTACTACACAAACTATTAAAGGCCACTACCTCAACATGACTGTGACGACAGCCAGATCAGCAGGTTCATTAACTTATAAGAATTGTACAAATTAATTAGCTTAATTTATTACACCATTAGCAAAAAGTAAGACTTTAGGCAGTCAGATAAAACCTATTGTCGAGCATCACTGCCGCAAGGCGGCTGCTTGCTTTACTGTGTGTCTCGCGATGATGATTGATATCGATTCGGTCGAAACATCGGATCTGTGCTAAATAGAGTCCAATTTTGTTTTTTCCAGTTGCTAAGCACTGAATTAAAATACGCATTACAAGTCATCGAGATGAACAGATTCACAATGATCCACTGCAAGATTCCACTATGAGTCCTAAAAATTATAAATTGTAATAACATGCAAAAAATTTAAAAAATTAATGATTAATTAAAATGGTTTGCTGATCTTTATCTTCTAATCAACTCTGTTCTTGTATGGGTGTTACTTGCCCATGGGCCTGCGTCGCTTCATGCTCATGTTTGAGATATGAGAAAATGTCGATGCTAATCTTTGAATCACTAATTGCCATGCTGAAACTGCTCACACAAGTAGCCATCAAGAAACATGACAATGTGGCTATGAGAAATGTCCAACTTAAAGCAGCATATAAAAATAAACTTTTGCCAATAATAATAGCGGAGAAAAGCGTGTATAAATTAAAAACTGCCGATTATCACATCATATAGTCATTTATCAGGTGGGTCATAGATATCGCAGCCATGAAAGGCGGTAACAGCAGGCAACATAGCCGTAGTCCTCGTCCATTCTTGTGGACCATGGTAGAATACTGTCTTGTCCCCATTGCTTGCACGTGACGACTTGCTACCCATTTGTCGGTTAGTTGCGCTGAATCAATGCAAGGTGTGGGAGCGACTTCCTTGCGAATCAACAGTCAAAAAAGCTTTTCAAGATTCGAAATATGGAGTTCGAAACCTGCCGTGCATTACTCTGTCGCGACCCTCACCATTTGAAGTGTAACGGCAGGATATCAGTATAAACTTTCAAACTTGAATACGTATTTTCCCGTCATTGCTTCAAACAGATTTGAATTAAAAACCTGAACGAACCGAAAGCCAATAATGGAGTATAACGTTTTCCTAAATCACGCGGTGGGGGGGGGCTTAAAAATGCCTAAGATCCTCAGCTTTAATCCTGAAGAAACTCGGATCCAGCTGGAATTTTTCAATGGTAGAGAAATCCATATTTAAGGACGAATTTTTTGTCCTGATGAGGAAACTTTAAATTCATCTTTTAGGAAAGTCTGTCTCACGTTTCTCGCTTGTTCATACTGTATTAGATGTTCAGAAATCGTCATTGTGTTTGAAATCGACCGACGACGAATTGGCTGGTTATGAATATCGGTCGCTGAGTCAATTATACTTCGTAATGGTCGCATTTCGGCACCAAAAGCGACTGTTCGTTGCTGCAACAACTGTTTCCAGAGACACATGCAGACTCGAATTGCCCTTCCCTCGTCGGCTGCGACCAATTAGCGGAGCCGGTGGCATCGACGGACGATCTCGCGGCCGGTTCATTACGTTCTGCCGGTAGAAGCCGGTTAATTGGGTTCGGCGAAGACGCTCAACATATTATCAAGCGTTAATTATACCGTAAACGCATTAACGAGTGCTTGAGTGGAAAAGAACGAGAAAACCCGCTTTTAATTGCGTCGCGTATTCATCGGTCATCGATTCTCTCGATTGTTAATCGAATTCGATAAAGGCCTATTTTTAACTCTCACTCAATGATGCGGTCTTCCAGCGTCGCCTCTTCCTCAATCTTTTCAATCAAACCACGATCCCATTCTGAGGCACAGGTACTTCGTCACCGAAACTTATTTTGTATGGTGTATCTCATGGCCCGTCGCGAGTTGCACAATAGTGGGAATGACGTCCTGACTGGGACTGCAGTTTGTTCAACCTCTAAAGTTGCCATGAGGGCGATTCATGAAATCTGAAGCAGCCGGCTAACGATGTAGTCATAGCAGCGGGGACTCATGCCACAATGTCTTAAAGGCGATTGTGTTTATGGGTGCGGAACAGGCAGGTGACAAATTCAG